AGACAGACATACAGAAAGAGACAACAGGAAAAGGTCAAAAGGTTGTGACCCCCAAGTGCCACCCTCCAACCACCCAGACAGACATACAGAAAGAGACAACAGGAAAAGGTCAAAAGGTTGTGTCCCCCAAGTGCCACCCTCCAACCACCCAGACAGACATACAGAAAGAGACAACAGGAAAAGGTCAAAAGGTTGTGACCCCCAAGTGTCACCCTCCAACCACCCAGGCAGCCAGAGACCAAGAGGAAAAGGTCAAGTGGTCGTGACCCCCAAGTGTCACCCTCCAACCACCCAGACAGCCAGAGACAAGAGGAAAAGGTCAAGTGGTCGTGACCTCCAAGTGTCACCCTCCAACCACCCAGACAGCCAGAGACAAGAGGAAAAGGTCAAGTGGTCGTGACCCCCAAGTGTCACCCTCCAACCACCCAGGCAGCCAGAGACAAGAGGAAAAGGTCAAGAGGTCGTGACCCCCACCTACCTGCACTTCCTGGAAGGTGTTGGACATGACGGCGATGAGCAGGTTGAGGAGGACCACCATGGTACAGAACACGTAGATCCCATACAGGTAGTGGCCGACTGTCGAGGCGCCTGTCGACCTGCAAACACACACAAACAAACACACATACATACAAGCAAACACACACAAACAAACACACATACATACAAGCAAACAAACAACATACAAGCAAACAAACATACAATCATACATACAAGCAAGCAAACAAACATACATACAAGCAAACAAGCAAACAAACATACAATCATACAAGCAAACAAACAAACAACTATACAAGCAAATAAACAAACACACATATATACAAGCAAACAAACAAACAACTATACAAGCAAATAGACAAACGATGATACAAAGGTGCATTTAAAAAAACCTAACTAACTAACTAGCTAACGAACGAACGAACTAACTAACGAACTAACGAACTAACTAACTGACTGACTAACTACCTAACTAATCAACTAACTAACTAACTAACTAACTAACTAACTAACTAACTAACTGACTGACTGACTGA